GTGTACCGCCCGCTTTAACACACTACAACTCTGCATTATGCGCACAGTGTATGTGTGTGTTCCACATGATTCTCACAATAAACAGCGACAGCATTCACCGGTTGGGCTTTGTAGCGGAGACGTAATGTTTTCCTGTGAGGTACGGACTGAATTGCTATATATTCTGCCCACAGAGTGTATCTGTGTATTCCGTACGGATCTCACAATAAACAGCGACTGTTTCCCTAAACAGCATTAATCGGTTGGGCTTTGTAGCGGAGACGTAATGTGTTTCCTGTGAGGCACGGACTGAATTGCTATATATTCTGCCCACAGAGTGTATCTGTGTGTTCCTTACGGTTCTCACAATAAACAGCGACTGTTTCTCTAAACAGCATTAACCGGTTGGGCTTTGTAGCGGAGACGTAATGTGTTTCCTGTGAGGCACGGACTGAATTGCTATATATTCTGCCCACAGAGTGTATCTGTGTGTTCCTTACGGTTCTCACAATAAACAGCGACTGTTTCTCTAAACAGCATTAACCGGTTGGGCTTTGTAGCGGAGACGTAATGTGTTTCCTGTGAGGCACGGGCTGAATTGCTATATATTCTGCCCACAGAGTGTATCTGTGTATTCCGTACGGTTCTCACAATAAACAGCGACTGTTTCTCTAAACAGCATTAACCGGTTGGGCTTTGTAGCGGAGACGTAATGTGTTTCCTGTGAGGCACGGACTGAATTGCTATATATTCTGCCCACAGAGTGTATCTGTGTATTCCGTACGGTTCTCACAATAAACAGCGACTGTTTCTCTAAACAGCATTAACCGGTTGGGCTTTGTAGCGGAGACGTAATGTGTTTCCTGTGAGGCACGGACTGAATTGCTATATATTCTGCCCACAGAGTGTATCTGTGTATTCCGTACGGTTCTCACAATAAACAGCGACTGTTTCTCTAAACAGCATTAACCGGTTGGGCTTTGTAGCGGAGACGTAATGTGTTTCCTGTGAGGCACGGACTGAATTGCTATATATTCTGCCCACAGAGTGTATCTGTGTATTCCGTACGGTTCTCACAATAAACAGCGACTGTTTCTCTAAACAGCATTAACCGGTTGGGCTTTGTAGCGGAGACGTAATGTGTTTCCTGTGAGGCACGGACTGAATTGCTATATATTCTGCCCACAGAGTGTATCTGTGTATTCCGTACGGTTCTCACAATAAACAGCGACTGTTTCTCTAAACAGCATTAACCGGTTGGGCTTTGTAGCGGAGACGTAATGTGTTTCCTGTGAGGCACGGACTGAATTGCTATATATTCTGCCCACAGAGTGTATCTGTGTATTCCGTACGGTTCTCACAATAAACAGCGACTGTTTCTCTAAACAGCATTAACCGGTTGGGCTTTGTAGCGGAGACGTAATGTGTTTCCTGTGAGGCACGGACTGAATTGCTATATATTCTGCCCACAGAGTGTATCTGTGTATTCCGTACGGTTCTCACAATAAACAGCGACTGTTTCTCTAAACAGCATTAACCGGTTGGGCTTTGTAGCGGAGACGTAATGTGTTTCCTGTGAGGCACGGACTGAATTGCTATATATTCTGCCCACAGAGTGTATCTGTGTATTCCGTACGGTTCTCACAATAAACAGCGACTGTTTCTCTAAACAGCATTAACCGGTTGGGCTTTGTAGCGGAGACGTAATGTGTTTCCTGTGAGGCACGGACTGAATTGCTATATATTCTGCCCACAGAGTGTATCTGTGTATTCCGTACGGTTCTCACAATAAACAGCGACTGTTTCTCTAAACAGCATTAACCGGTTGGGCTTTGTAGCGGAGACGTAATGTGTTTCCTGTGAGGCACGGACTGAATTGCTATATATTCTGCCCACAGAGTGTATCTGTGTATTCCGTACGGTTCTCACAATAAACAGCGACTGTTTCTCTAAACAGCATTAACCGGTTGGGCTTTGTAGCGGAGACGTAATGTGTTTCCTGTGAGGCACGGACTGAATTGCTATATATTCTGCCCACAGAGTGTATCTGTGTATTCCGTACGGTTCTCACAATAAACAGCGACTGTTTCTCTAAACAGCATTAACCGGTTGGGCTTTGTAGCGGAGACGTAATGTGTTTCCTGTGAGGCACGGACTGAATTGCTATATATTCTGCCCACAGAGTGTATCTGTGTGTTCCGTACGGTTGTCACAATAAACAACGACTGTTTCCCTAATCAGTATTAACCAGTTGGGCTAGGCCGCTTCATAGCTCAAGCTGTTTGTCGCTGGCTTCCCACCGCGGCGGCCCGGGTTCGATCCCTGGTCTGGTCAAGTGAGATTTGTGATGGACAAAGTGGCGCTGAGGCAGGTTTTCTCCGAGTACTTCGGTTACCCCTGCCAATCTTCATTCCACCAATTGCTCCACAATCACCCTCACCTGTCATCTGGGGCTTGTACAATAGGCCAGAAGTGGCCGCAGTACAAGGGACTTAGTCCCACCCCACTAGCAATAAAAAGAACCGGTTGGGCTTTGTATCGGTGACGTGATGTGTTTCCTGTGAGGTACGAACTGAATATATATTACGTAGATATGCTGTATATGTGATACGTACTCTTGATGAATGCGAAGCCTACTCATAAGAGACAAACCCATCTTCTCTTCAGAGAGGATGTTACAGAAGGACTATGACTGCAAAGTTTCAGTTGCAAAAAAAAAATCTGGTCTTGAGCCTCAGGGGGGCTTGACGCCAAGGCTAACCGATAGGCCGTAAACTGTCAGTCGTAATTAACTCTGACTCGTGCCTGAACCACAATGATACAAGAGGATTAAGCAACTTTGTTCGCATTTGTGACTGGAAGAAGATGAGGGGGGCTATTTATAGTGGACACAGTATTGATGCCTCACGGCAGCTCTGCCGACAACCCCTGCAGACTTTCATATTTTTACTTCAAAATGTTAATGAGATTTGAAACTTCGTGTGTCTCTTGGATTTGAGGTTATCACGGCAGTGATTGTGAAGAGTACAACCAACTGGGATGTCACCAGACTATACGGCGTCAAATCCCAGATGATTGTACTTTCGATATGTATGTTGCATCGTAATAACAACGTAGAAGAGCGGAATATAAACAGATCCTGTGACCTCAACATTTGTTACGTCACACTAAAGGTCACCAGCCACATTTCAGCCCCCTCTCAACCCTTATCTCGCGTCGTCACGTCAGTCTCCTCCCCTTCACCCCATCATAAAGTTACCTTCCTTTTTATATACCTCTCATGTGAACTAGCCATGCATTTCAGTGCTTACAGAAAGGTGACGTAATTCTTGGGAATAAAAGGAGTTATTGCACATGGATTAAGTTGAGACTTAAGATTCTCGGACTGGCGAATATGAACACTGCATGCGGTTTACGTGCTCGGCTTTCTATTAGGCTCTGAAGATGGAGGGTAATGAAGCGCAAGGCATTTTGCGACATGATATATATCTCGCAGTGGAAGTAAAGGTAGGAGTTACGGGCTGCATACGACTCAGAATTCTGACTGCCGAGTCCCGGGTTCGAGCCCAGGTTTGGTCGTGTTCGATTTGTGGTGGACGAAGTGTCACTGGGGCAGGCTTTTCCCATACCAATCCCCATTCCACACCAATTTCCCGATTCTGTCATCAGCACACAGGCAAAGGTACAGTGGTCGCACTTGTCTCACTCGCTACGAGAAGCTAATCATTAAAAAGATTACAATTAATAATTTAAGTCCATATGACCTGACCGGGGATCGAACCAGGACAGCCGTGTTGTTAAGCCAGCCTGTGTTGCGGTGTGGACCCGTTCGAGATTCGAACCGGGTACCATTTGGATACAAGTACGCAGCGTTACCGGTTAATATGACTCGTTCGTTTGTGGGACGATTTTGTTCATTTTTGGTATCGTGGCATGAACTGTGTTGCTTTGCTTCCATAAAGAGATAGAGGCGAGTGGTCAGCTTCATGCTTCGGCCGCTTTATTCCGGGTGGGCCACAGAAGTGGTCTACATGCAGTGCGTAATATGTTCGTGGTGAATATTTGAAATACAATACTGTGGAAATACATTTATTTTCGATGATTATTCTTTTAACAAATTTTTGTGTTACACACATAAATATTAATGAATATACGATTTCAGTACCTTTTTTATGAAGGAAATGTATTCATTTTTGCTTATTAAATATATGTAAATATCGTCAGATCACCTGTTGTAACATCTTATTGATTTATATACATATGTCATTGTCTTGTACACACATGGATACATAAACCCCCACAAAGGCCTGTGGTTATCTGAACCCTGAAAGCACTGCGGTCTCTAGCTAATGATCGGAAGGGCACAGTTGCGTAGCAACGCGTTTTTTTAATGAATAATTCAGTTTCTTGCCACATAACCATAAGCCTTAGTTGGGATGCACGTCACTAGTTTCTGTCCTATTTTAACAATTCAACATTTATGAAATAAATTGATCTTCTAAGTGTGAAGTTTATTTTCATCTTATGCGGTAATTAGTGTGCAGTTTAAATGCTATAGTTGTCTTTTATAATTTTAACAATTTCTTCTACATTTTTCATTTATATAAATGTGATTTAAAATACATATAAAATAATTGTAAATCTTATTTTATTAAAAGATTTAAATTTTATTTCTAAATTTATAAATAAAAGCGTAAAACTATTTATGTGATATATCAAGAGATAAAGTCACGGAAGATATCGATGAATACTTTTTTCAATCATTTTGTACTATGGTTTAACGTTGATAAGTTCTGAAAATGTCAATTACTACCCCAATTTATATTGATGGGGTACTCCCTACCAAACTTCGACGCATATCGATACCGTGTTTCGCGACAGGATACTACAAATTCACCTACAAAATTATATGTAAATAAGATCTAACAGTTTGTGACGATGGTAAATTAATACAATTATTGTGTTTATGGACATATCCATGGTCCTGTTTTTATTTAAAACGCAATTCTGTTTATGTTTCAAAACGCACCGTTTCGGAGACTGGATTCTGTCTCCGTTTTCAGAAAAACAAGAGACTTGATTCTGTCTCCGTTTTCAAAAAACAAGAAACTTGACTATGTCTCCGTTTTCAGAAAGACAAGAAACTTGACTATGTCTCCGTTTTCAAAAAAACAAGAAACTTGACTATGTCTCCGTTTTCAGAAAGACAAGAAACTTGACTATGTCTCCGTTTTCAAAAAAACAAGAAACTTGACTATGTCTCCGTTTTCAGAAAGACAAGAAACGGAGACAGAATCCAGTCTCTGAAACTTTGTGTTCTGCAATATAAACAGGACATGGATAATGTCCAGATACATGATATTTGTACTAGAATTGTGTGTTCCACAGTAAACTTCAGAAGAGTCGAGATTCTGTACCTGATTGAACTAAAAATGTTGACAGGTCACAAAGTTAAGATCTATAAAACTTTGCTTCTTTGTATACACTTATAAATAGTACATATTACATTCCTGCGTTTAATTTTTTTTTTTCGAATTCTGTCAGAAATTAAGTTCTGTGTCATGCTAGTCTTCACAACTAAAACTTGATTTCTAAAGTAATGACTTTCACCTTGGTTATGTGAGTTAGGTTTAATCAGTCTGATTTTTTTGTCATTCTGAACGATAAATATCATCAAATTTTATATATAAACATTCATAAAATTATCTACAATTCAAAATCATCTAATTAAGTGCCAAACATTATTCAATATTTTATATTCCAATTTTTTTTCTTCAAATTTTCTGTTCGTAAGATATCAAAGCACGAAAAGAGAATAAAACGTGAGCACGTGACGATCATTCAATTAAAGATTGGCTAAAGGATAATATGACTCTGCACTTTAAGAAACAAATGACTCTAATATCCAAATTCGGAAATACATCGTCTTCAGTCTATTATATTTCTATATAAATAAGATATTTTGATACCAGTTACATTTTCAGAATACATTCCGTCATTGACACACATACATCTGTTAAATATATGAAACTCTATCACGATATATTGTATTCATTTTAAAATTCATATCCTCTGCCTATACTCTTCTATAATTTTACTCTGTAAATCAAATTAAATTTTACACAAATCCTACAGTGAAGTTTACCGTCTTCTGGGATGTGACGCCACATGTCCCAGTAAAATTTACCGACGTTTCGGAATACTGCCTCAATATTGAAGGTCGAAGAATAAGCGAAACAAGTAATCAACAAACATCAGAACTCAAACAGAGATTACTTGCAGATTTCTTGCTTGGATTATCCTTCAGTCCTGAATATGGAGTCAGTAGGTTCCTCTGAAACATCTCTGAACTTATACCGGGCTACACGGTGTCACACCCTAAAGCTCAGTACTGTTTATATTCTCCGCTGTGAATATCTTAATACAGTATACGTCTTACAATGTCATTAGCGTTAAAGTGTCCTAAGTTTCCAGATCAGTTGTAGCTAAAATGTAAATCTCACCAAATTTCGTCTCGGTACAGATGTTTCACCGTACTGCATGAATTCGCTCAGTCACGCATGAATACACTGCAGTTTTAGTATATGCAGGTATAAATAAAATTAGGCATACATGTATAAATACTGTGCAGGCTAATCCGTTGTTTTACAATCTCTGGGCTGCGACCTCCACCCACAGGTCACAAATTTCTCAAGAATTATGTAAAATATATTGGTACCCATGCTTATTTTTTTTGACAAGCCAACGAATTAATAAGATTTAATTTCGGTGCTTTCGGAGAATATATTTGCAGTCCGTGATATTTTACACAAACTATACCCATAACTCTGAAGTTCACAGTTCAATTCCCGTCATCACAGTCCCACCAGGAAGGATCAGGATGTTCACTGTTACCAGTAAACGTGATATCAGAATGTAACAGACCTCCAGGGGCACTACCAAACGTAGGGGGGGCCTTCATGAGGCACGTGTTGTCTGCTTCACTTACAACAGCTGAAGTGATACAAGATTCACTTCTAAATTGAATACACGCCATTTGAGGCATCTCCGGTCTTCATATATTTTCAAATTTTGTTGTTGACTGATGATCACATTGGAGAAGCCATTCCCAGACGCGTTTCGTTATGGTCTTTTGGTCTATCGTCGTTTCTAAGCCGTGCGCACTCAACAGTTTCTTGAGTCTGTTTTTGCTTTCATCAGCTAAATGAGTTTTACCGTCCATCTGATTAAGATACATATTGATTGATTCTCTCCTGGAAGCCCCAACAGCTGAGGAAGACGCCCCGGCGTCTGCACCACAACTCGACGCTCTTGCAGACGTTTTTCGATCCATCCAAATATCTTTTAGATATTTATTAATCTCGTTTACAGACGCTCTTTTTTCTGGTTTTCTCTCAAGTAACCGTTTTATCATCCTCAGAAAACGGGATGTGAATGAACGAAATTGTAGTGGCACTTTCGTGGTTTTCCTCTTTTGCCATCGCATGAAATTACAATAAGCTACATCAGATATGTCGGCTGATTGCCATGGAGGACATCCGGTAAGACATACAAATATTATTATGCCAATCTGCCAACAGTCAGATGTCAATTTACACTCGTATTTCTCGTTAGTTACAAGTTCACATATTTCTGGTGGTAGAAACGGTTGCCACGTACAGCGATGCTTTGTGACTAATGTCCCTTCGCGAACCGTTGCACCGAAGTCACAGAGTTTGACGAGTGACATGTCGGCTGCAAATACCAGGATGTTCTCCAGCTTGAGGTCTCGGTGTACCAGTTTCAAGGAATGAAGGAATCCAACCGCTGAAGCCAACTGTTGTGCAATTTTTTTGCAGTACGTTTCTGGTAATCCACCGGCTTTGACAGAACCAGACAGGTCACCAAGTAGGGCATATTCCTGCGCAAACACGAAACAGTTCTCAGTCGTGAATGCCACAGGATAGATGGATAGGATGTTTGGATGAGGACTCAGGTAGTAGCTGTAATGGTACTCCCTGTGGAAGTCACTCTCAGCAGTGAGTTCCATGTGGATAGCTTTCAGCACCACTTTGGTGTTGGTGCGGCGATGTTTGACGAGGAGGATTCTGGCAAAGCTTCCCTCGGCGAGGGTGCCCTGGATGTCGTACTCTGCAGAGACGTCAATGTCATCCAACTTCGTTTTCTGGATATTGTGCACACACAGTTCTTTGTTTTTGTTCCTCATTCTGCCGTTCTCGTCGAGGGCTGGACACGAACAGGTTCACCGCAAATCCTGCAGGAACAAAAAGAACATTTAAACGAAAATTAAATTTTAAGTATCTCCATTGAGCTTCATAACTTGTACTCTTCTCCAAGTATAATTAGAATAATCAAGCCAAGGAGGGTGGAATGGGCAGGGCATGTAGCACGAATGGGAGAGAAGCGGAATGCATATAGGATATTGGTGGGAAAGCCAGAAAGAAACAGACCACTGGGAAGACCAAGACGTAGGTAAGTGGACAGTATTAAAATCAATCTTAGAGAGATAGGATGGGATGGTATGGATCGGATTGATCTGGCTCAGGATAGAGATCAGTGGAGGGCTCTTGTGAACACGATAATAAACCTTCAGGTCCCATAAAGTGTTGGGAAGTTCTTGAGTAGCTGCACAACTGGCGGCTTCTCAAGAAGGGCTCAGCTCCCTGAGTGAGTGAGTGAGTGAGTGAGTGAGTAGGTCCATGGGTATTTCTCAGCTTTATGGAACTCGAAGGTTCATTACCGTGTTCACAAGAGCCCGCAACTGGTCTCTCTACCCTGAGCCAGATGAATTCTGTGTCAAGTTCTTCCATATTATTTCTTCAAGATCTGTATCAATATTGTACACTCATCTACTTCTGGGTCTTGCAAATAGAGTCTTTCCTTCTTTTTGAGAAGCTGATGCTCGCTTAGCCTGTGAAGAAATTTTGCTTTTTTAAGGCAACCATGAAGTTCGTTCCCGTGTTCACAAAGTTCCTCTTTAATATTGTATGTACCATCTGTGCCTAGATATCCGTTTTGGTTTTCTTTTTCAATTGAAATTTGGCTAACCAACTAACTACTTGGAGGCACGCGGTAGCGTAGTTGGTTGAGGCACTATGCTACAAGCCGGAAGGTTGCAGGTTTGAGTCTCGATGAGGTAGATTTTTTTCTTCAATTGACGTAATCCTTCCAGCCGCACTATGGCCCTGAGGTCGACTCAGCCTCTGACAGAAATGAGTACCAGGAATCTTCATGAGGGGTAAAGGGCGGCCGGCATGTAAGGCTGACAACCTCATCACCATCTGTGAGCCGATTGTCTAGAGAATATGTGGGAGCCTCGACGTCTCACAACCCTATGGGCCTTCACGGCCTCTTACAGGGGGAAAGAAAAAATAACTTATAAAGTTCACGAAGCAGAGTCCTCGAGAAGCTGACAGTTGTTCAGCTACTCAAGAAATTCCCTGCGTTTTATAGAACCTGAAGGTGACATCTGGTGATGCAACCCTCTTACACACAACAATACATAGACACTGCAGTCCTCTCTGTCATTAGCTATATTACTATAAAAACGTGTGTAATTTATTCTGTCAAATTCAAATTAACTCGCCTATAAAATCCGGTATTTATATGCCGGTGGCATTTGTGTTCATTAATGTTTCAATTCGTATTTTCCCCCCGTGACTTAATTAAGTTTATTGTGTATAAAGTAATTAAATTCACGAACACAGTAACATAACATAAACATTATGTGATATAGCCTCTAGTCCAGTCTTAGGATATATTAATAATGTATTTGCTCTGTTGAAGAAGTGTAAAGCAAAGAGTCTGATAATCAGGTTCCAACAATGCTATGATGTACAAATCATTATACTGTCTCAAATTTGAAAGAAGCTTGGCACTTAATAGCAGTTTATGTACAAATTTTGTTTTTCTGGGCATTATCCATCGTCATGTTTTTGTTTAAAACACACAACGTTTCGGAGTCTGGATTCTGTCTCCGTTTTCAAGCAGAACCTACTCAGTTGGGCTCAAACGATAGAGCTAGTCCCTTTCTCGTGTTTTAAATAAAAACAGGATGATGGATTATGTCCAAAAATATAAAAAGGGGGCAAAATCGTCCCTGTGCATGAAGGCGTATGGGGGAGTGGATGTATAGGCCAACGTTTTCTTGACCTCGGCACTAGTTGGACGTAAGTGGTTAGCTTCAAGCCTCTGCCGCTGTACCCCCGGGAAAGAGCCCCCGGTACCCAATGGATAGGAGGCTGAGTGGGCCCCAGAGCCCCCTGAACATATTTGTATTTATACGTGTATATCATCGTCACAAATTTTTGTGTCTTATTAACATTTTATATGTCTATAGACTGACTTCATCTATACCCGTCCTAATCCTGCGCTGCAAGGGCCATATCTGACCAAGACTGACTGACTGACCGTCAGTCGTAATTTGACTTTGACTTTGAATTAGACTTAGACTTAGACTTAGATTAGTTCAGAGCGCAGTGGAGAGTGCAGTGCAGTGCAGTGCAGTGCAGTGCAGTTAACGAGGAAGAAGAGTCTTCTAGTCGAGTTCCGAGGTTCAGGATGATTGAACAAGAAATGGCATGAAGACTTCATACTGATATGAAGTGACAGTTTTTGTGTTGAGATCCGTTGCTAGGAGACGACTAGTGGAAACTGGGGATCCTATTGCCTGTGCAACGGTGAGCTGGAAGGTGTGTAAATCAGCACTAACGCTCTGCTACTTGTAATTAAGAGACATTGTAAACAAAGTGCCAGTAAATCCAATCATCCGAAATAGAACTTGTTATTTTCGCACGCCTACCCCACCCACACGTGACAATATTTATGTTTAGACGTTAATAACTGTAATTAATTCAGCATTTCTGCTTTCAGGCGAGTCCCAGAAGAGTATAAGAGACATCTATATAATTGCAAGGGGTGTAGGGACGTAAGAGAGGGATGATTCATCTGGGAGAACCCTGGGTTTTGTGTGGGTGTCGCTGTTCTCCTGGGGAGCTATAAATAGATGGCAATGCTACCAACCCCCCCTGCCCGTACAACCCCTTTTCTCATCCCTATATAAAATCGATAAACACTGACGTCATGAATGACGTCACAGCCTGTTACTCATTTCTCATGTCTCCTTGATATTCGCCTCCCGCGGATGATGGTTTGTTACCGGCCAGCACGTGGTCACAGAGCAGAAGGCAGTCATGACGTAATCATATTTTCTTTGTCTTATTTGTGCGGGAAGACCGTTAGAGATTGAGTCTGTTTCAAAGCAGGGTAATGAGATTTTATTCAACGAAGATCCCCGGTAGCTCAGTCGATATAGGCTTCGGGCTGGACAGTCGGGAACTCCGGATTCGGTTCCCGGCAGAGACATGACATCTGATATCTTTCACAGCGTCCATACCGGGTTTGAGGCCCACCCAAGGTACGGCCCAAATGAAGAATGTATGGATCTATACCTCTACTCCCATACACAACTTAACTTCTTGATGCTTAATTAAGCACAAGGACAGTTTTGTTATTACTTCTATTTAACGACGCTGTCAGTAGTTTCTCAAGGAGGATGAGGTGGGTAGGGCATGTAGCACGAATAGGGGAGACGAGGAATGCGTATAGGATATTGGTGGGAAAGCCAGAAGGAAAGAGACCACTGTGAAGACCAAGGCGTAGGTGGGTGGACAATATTAAAATGGATCTTAGAGAGATAGGACAGGATGTTACGGATTGGATAGATCTGGCTCAGGATAGGGACAAGTGGAGGGCTCTTGTAAACCCGGTGATGAACCTTCGGTTTCACAAAGTGCTAGGAAATTCTTGAGTAGCTGCACAACTGATGGCTTCTCAAGAAGGGCTCTCAGCTCCATGAGTGAGTGCATTATATAAAGGAGACAGTTTACGGCTGTTTATTTATGCGTCTTGCTGCGTCGGGAAAGCAACTCAGAATTATAACGTTGCAAGTATGGGATATAACAATTGACAATTTCGTCTTACGAATTCTGTCCATGAGCCCGGGGACTTGTTGCCAGTAACATCCCTCGTACCCGTCTCGCGTCTCTTTGTTAAGTTCTGTAGCTCTGTTGGCCTTCAATTTGTCGTCGGCATTTCGAAACGCTTCGAAAACGCCACGAGTTTTTTTTAAACAAGTTGAGCTGTTCTTTTCATTTACTGATAATAAACTGCACTAAAATAGAATTTTGCGAGTTACGTTTTGCTGTGGTCTTCATTCTGTTTGCCGATTGGCTGGCCCGCCTAACGCTTTCATTGTTTATGTTTATAAATAAACAAGTGAGTAACGTTGCTGTCAGATGCTTGTTTCTGGGGGGAACACTGACCGGGAAACTGCGGCGGACGCCTGCCTCAGAGACGGCCTGGAGGAATTCTTATTGCTTTTGGGTTTGAGCTTCCCGTAGAGGTGACGGCTGTAGTCTGATAGAATTTAACGAATTTTCGTAGGAACATACCGCTCCTTATGCTCTGTTTCCAAACTTCTGGAAAACGACATGGCTTTACATAACACAAGATAATATTTTATTGGCTTCATTTAAATGTAAAAATAGCAAACAGGCCCTGTAACAGGCCGCGGGTCCCATAGGGTTGTGAGACGTCAAGGCTCCCACATTTTCTCTAGACAATCGGCTCACAGATGGCGGGGAGGTTGTCAGCCTTACGCGCCAGCCGCCCTTTACCCACAGGAAGATTCCTGGTACTCATTTCTGTTAGAGGCTGAGTCGATCTCAGGGCCATAGTGCGGCTGGAAGGATTAGGACAATTTAAAAAACAAATCCAATGACCTAATCGGGAATCGAACCCACGACCTTCCGGCTTGTAGCATAGTGCCTCAACCAACTACGCTACAGCGTCCCCCCCCTTCATTTAAATATATGAGATCCTAAGTTTTTAAACCTAGAGTTTCTCCTAGTGTTCTAATGATTCGTTATTTATGTTCTCCCTCTAGAAGTACAGTCCAGTGAAGTCCAAAATGGAGCAGGTTAGCGTAGCGGTAACTTTCTAGTCTTTTATTTTGGACGTGCTCAGCCGGGAACATACGTTGTCCTGACTTATTCCTTGTGGTTTTCCTCAGTCATTTCATACAAATCTCCAAAGAGTACGTCGATCGGCCACGACCGCTTCCTTCCAAATGTTTCCTAATTCCTTCACGTCAAATAGTCTGTATACTGATAGCATCGTTAAATAACCAACCTCGAAAGAGGGGAACAAGCTGGTTAGATCTTCTCTAGCAAGAGGCTTTGCCCATCTGAACATATGAATGTCCCATTCATAGATCAAGGAGGATGAAGTACATGTAGCACGCGTGTTTGATAGGAAAGACTGATACCACACACAATACATAGACTTTGATGGAAAAATAATATAATAATGGAGTATATTTAAATAAACAGAAGTTTGTGAACTGGATTGATCTGGCACAAGATAGAGAACAGATTTCCATGAAGTGTTGGGAATTTCCTGGCAAGCTGATGAAGACTGCTCGCTCGTTCGTGACATATTACCTAAATTACATTCTGCAACGTGTTGAAGCTCTATAATTAATTGATATTATAGCTTGAAATTCCGTAACGGCATATACAGGTCTACAGGATAATTATCCAGGGATTGGAGGTGGATGGAACTGGCTCAGGATCGTGTCCAGTGGCGGGCTTTGGGATTAGCGGTGTTGAACCTACGGGTTCTGCTACCAGAGAGTTAGTTAATTAGTAAGATGGATCTTATTGGCCGAGCCATACCTAAAGCGGTTAGTCGCCGGCTTCCCACCGCGGCGGCCCCGGTTCGATCCCGGGTCTGGTCAAGTGGAATTTGTGGTGGACAAAGTGGCGCTGGGGCAGGTTTTCTCCGAGTACTTCGGTTTCCCCTGCCAATCTTCATTCCACCAATTGCTCCACAATCACCCTCACCTATCATCTGGCGTTGGTACAATAGGCCAGAAGTGGCCGCAGTACAAGGGACTTAGTCCCACCCCACTTACTTACTTATGGAGCTGAGCTCTTCTTGAGGAGAAGCCAATTCTGCAGCTACTCAAGAACTTCCCAGCATTTTATGGAACCCGAAAG